TTACCAGTTAAAGCCTATTCTTTTGTCTTATTCTTATGTCTTTTCAGACAGATCTGTATCGAAAAAAAATCAGATCCTCCTTTGCTTACGGTGCCTGAGTAAAAAGGGAGGAGAGGAGGAAAGGAAGGTAAATTGTGGTAGCATCAGGAATAGACATATTGTCAGCTAGGGTGCTGTTTCAGTTATTTTTTCTAACAGCTCCTATCTTTGCTTCATAACTATAGAGTAGATCAGAAATATCTCATTATTTCAAGGTCATATTCAAGGATGAGCTACATGCCAGGAATCTGCATAAGCTTTAGATAGCTAAAAAATACAGGAATAATAATAATAACAGGAAGGGATAATTCAGGTAAAAAGTACATCAAGGAGTATTTGACACAAAACAGGAGAGTCCAGGCTGAGAATAAAGCACCCTGCCATCAGAACGGACTGTGACAGGATTGCAGCAATGTAATTAAAAGTCGGGGTGACAAGGCACAGCCAACAGCCTCACCCATCAGGCTGGCAGAGGAAAGAGCTTGTATCAGGTCTTTGCCTTCTCCACAGCCACAAATTGCACAAGAGAGAAGCCTGGTATGCACTAATTATCTGCCAGATGCACGGAGACAGAGTGATTTATGAAGTAAGAGCAGGGAAAAAGATGGTGCAAACTGAGGAGGTGCATCCAACTCCATACATCCTGGTGCCTTGCCCAGAGGAAGTACAGGACATACAAGGTGTCTGACTCAAGGTAGATAATCCTCAGATCCCAAGAAGCCCTCTCCACATCAGAGATGAATAATTTTTCCTTCCCTTCCCAATATTTATCCTCATATGAGAATAAAAGGCACAACCTGATGAAATCAAGTAGAACTGGACCCCTGTAAAGGTGTGGGTACCTAACACCTAGTGCTGTGTTCAGCTGTCCTTGCAGTCTCACGTGTTGTTTGGAGAAATGCTAAGTGCTTCCTGCATTGAAGGCTTTCACATCTGGCCATGTGTGACTCATTTTCTACCCAATAATCTGAGTATTTGGGTATCCAAAAGTTCTTCCTTACCACAGATATATTTCAGTGGCACCAAAACACCTCAGAGATCCATATCCAGTTTGGTACCAGCTTTCTATTCAGAATTACTGCGCCCTCTGAAATCCACCTCATCCAAAACCTGGTACAAGAACACAGGGTTTGGGCACTAAAATTAGCATCTCATTGCACCAGCCCAGGCTACCTGGCCTGTTTTCCCCAATAAATCTTCAATAACAAAACCAGCACTGCTTGTGTAAATGCATATACTTGTATAAACGCTTCTACTCCTAAACAAATCATGAGCAGCAAGGATTCCTATAAGCTCTGTGAGTGTCCACTCACCAAAAGCAGCCTACAGCCAGTGCCTTTCCATGAAAGGTCTACCATGCATGCAGAAAGTTCCTGTTTTGCAATTTTATAGCTGAGCAACACCTGCAAGGACATCTTCTAACAGCGACGTTGTCAGCTCTCCGTGCCGTGCGTGTCCCAGCAGGATGGGAGCGGTGGAAATAAAAATCCAACCCACTAAAATTGCAACACCCCTTCCTGAGATCTTATCTTGATGCATCATGATAAAATGCAAATAACCTGCATATGCGGGGGGGGGGAGAAAATAAAAAGACAAAAAAGATTTAATTGCGTTTCTCAAACCGGCTACTTCAGCAATGTCCTGGGTCACCACTGGTAAGATGCATAAGATGCTTCATGCTCAAATGCTCAAGTGAGTGGTCCAGCAAAGCCCTGGGTGAGCTGAGTGTCCCTGCCCTCCTCCTTCCATGTTTTCCCTGCCTGACTGTTTTGCAATTTTTCTTAATCAGTCCACACTCTCTGGCACAAACTACCTACAATCACGAAGGTTAGTTCTCAGGTTCTTTCTGTCCCAGACCCCTTTGAATGGGACTGTTTGGCAGTCCAGCCCTGCCTCAGAGGACTACTCCAGTGATCCAAGGTTGGTGCAGTGGCTGCTGGAACATTATGGACAGGGTTTTAACACACACAACATGCAAAGTATTTCGACCCGCCTGTTGCTATTCTCATATTCTCTCTTAAGAGAACTCAAAGGGCCAATACTGAAACTGTACATTCTACAGAAATATATTCATTTTACTGATGCTGATGTCCAGACTTCACACTGGCCTGGACCCTCTCCTGGCAGCTCTTCCCAGCACAATCCTCCCTCTCACCTGGTTCCCTTTAGCTGCCTAAAGGGACATGGAAGATTACAAAAGGCCAGTGGAAAGCAAACAGCTACTGTACAATAGTCTCTAAGATTCCTATCATGTTCTGATGGCAAATATTTACCTTTTAAAAACAATTATTTCCTAGTCTGAGGTTCAGGTCTAGTGCATCCTGGTACAGGTAACAAACACACCAGTACTATTGGAACCTGGCTCCTGTTCATGCTTTTCCTTATAATTAAATCTTTGCCATGGCTGTTCCCCAATGCAGATAACAACTGAAGTGAGTAACAAGACTATTCATAGACCCTTCATGAGCTTTGGCACTAAACAAAAAAAAAAAAAAACTAATAAAATGGATTTTTAGTCGAAAACATCTGTGGGAATTGGTGGTATTTTCTGCACAGGTCCTCATGGGTAGTCAGGCAGGTACTGGTGCAACACTAAAACTGCCACCCCTCTTTAAAAGAGGAACACTTTGCAATCCCAGCAGAATAGCTAAGTATTAAAAAGCAAGAGAGAATTAACCACAAAATATATTTTCTCTGACAATATGGCATGTTGATAAGACAGTCTGAAGATGGAGCTGCTGACTTGATGATACACTAAAAGCTCTGGGTTCTGTGGTTATCAAGAAACAACAAGCTGTGATGTTTGATGAATAGGAAATGATAAATAGGAGGTGATAGGAGCTGTAGAAGAATGTAAGTTCGCCCGAGGAGGATTTTCCCTTTTATTATCCAGAATATCCTACTTAATGAATACAGGATGACTCCTGGTTCAAGTAGCTCGCTTCAACTTTAGGGTGTGGGTTATTTTCAATTTCTAAAGGCTACACGGAAAAACCTCATCTCTTGCTAAGCGCAGGGCAGGCGCAGCAATGACTCTGAAAAGGCTGAGCAATGTAGAAAGCAGAGGCTGCTCCTCAGTGCAAAAATCCCCTGTGCCTCTGCAGGCAGCAGCAGGGCAGGGTTTGCACAAAACCAGCGCCCACGCCTCCCGCACACTGAGCACGCAGCTCCTGCCAGCACGGCTGGGAATCACCTCTCATCCCACGGGACCCCTGGCACAGCCTGCCCTGGAAAACCTTATTCAAGAAGTGTGCCCAGCACCGCATCAAAGACGCCTGATGTACAAGCTTCACATTACCTGGTTAAAAGGAGAATAAACCGACCAAGCTCATTAAAGCCTGAGGATGCAACGCCCAGGTTTTATCTCCTGATCAGCTGAAAGTGGAGTGTCACAATATGATGAGCTCTGTTGCAAAGCTGTTTTAAAGAGGCTTCTTTTCAGCTCTCTTTGTTCCTGCCTCTGAAGTTGAACAGCATTAACGTTTGTGGCTCGTATTAGAATTTGGGTTGCTAATTGGATTCCTCACAAAGAACTGAAGAAATAGGTAAGAGCTAGAAAAAGAATTGAAGCACCATCCCAATAAATGTAGTGCACGTTAGCTGACAGAAAACAGCCCTGGGAAGTGTTGTGTCCCAGGGGAATTAGAAAACAAGTTGAAACAGAGGAACCTCTGCTGAAGCACAGCCCTGGGTGCACTGCACTGTTGAAATTGTTTGCTACACTCAATCTACAATTGCAGGTACAATCAATAGAGGCAAGGAGAGCCCTCCTTTCCAAAAGGGAGAGGGCAGGTAGCAAGGTCTGATTAACCCTAATGGGGGGGGTTTAGATGAATCTGTGGCTGCAACTGGGAAGCTACAGGAAAAAACAGCAAAGAGCAACCAGCTACAGAGGGGGTGTGAGGACATCCCTCCTGGGCAAAGATACCTCCTTTGGCTCCAAGAACCACTGTCAGGGCAAGCTGCTGCCTCCACCTTGCATCCTTGCAGAGCTGACTTAGCCATAGCCATACCTTATATATCCATCCTGTGAGTTCTGAGCACTGTTCTTTTGTGCCTGCTTCCCGAACGGAAACTGCTTCATCCCTCCAAACTATTATGTGATGCAATAGGAAGAATTAAATTACCTGGAATGGATGCATGGCCAAAACACAGCCTGGGTGTCACCACAACCTTCTTAAAAACTAAATTTGACTTTGGTAAAGACAATAGAGGTGTTTTGTTGCTGTGGTGCAACCCTTCCTGTGTAACCATTTTAATGTTGTTAGAACATTTCCGCAGTGGAAGTGTTTTTATGAACTTGCCACTTGGTGGTGCTGAATGTCCTAGGAGCCGTGCAAACTGCTCTGAACCCCGCATTTATTTTACAGTGAGGATTTACTTTCAAAATGCATAGGACACTATGTTTGCTTTCCTTCTTAAGTTCTGTAGAGTTTCCTTTTAAATCAACTAGGCTACTGGAAACAGGAGCCCAGCCCACAAGAAGACATTTCACCGGACAAGAGGGGCTGCACTTTCTCTGCCTCCTTCCCTGGATCCAGTATATGTGAGGGAACAGTGACCTCACGTGTCTGTTAAATTAATCACAGGAGCATCCTTCCCATGAATTTAGCATCCTGTGCTTCTTCTACTCATTGACGTTTCTACCCAGCCAGCTGTGCTGGTGCACACACCTCCACAAAAGCTGCCCTGGCTTTTCCTGCCTTGGCACTTGAGCTTTCTTGCAAACTATGCCCAGCTCTTTACTCAAGGTCCAGACACAGGAACCAGAGTAAACCTTTCTTAAAGCCGTTTTTAAGTGCTGTGTTTGCTTTCCTGCCGGATCACTCAGCCCCTTTTCATGTTGCAGCTTCAGTGTCGTTTGGTACCTTGCAGACTGGGCAGGACTTCTACAGATGGGACCCAAAACCTGTTGTCTATCTCAGGAAAAACTCAACTTCCATAAGAGTTCAGTGCCATTCATGGAATTCCAGTGGCAGTGGGTGCAGCAGGTAAGGATTTGGATAGTCTGGTGAACAGAAATGGAACACAAGAGACCATAAATGAAGCTGTGTGCTTATGGTAACAGATAATAGAGACCCCAAAGAATAGAATAT